TGTGTTACAACGGTCTAAACTCTACCCTCGGACCGTTTAAGCGCGATAACCTTTTTCGGCTTGATAAAAGTCATCCTGTGTGGCTCGTTGGTTCATGGAGGTTCAAAAGCCATCACATCAAGTCAAGATGCAGTCACTTCACGATGGTATTCAGCGGACTCGATCGACGTACATCCGGACCTTGCAGCCAACAAACAGTCGCGATAAAGTAGGAAGAGCGAATAACAGGTATGCTATTGTTACGGCTTCATGGCAAAGAAAACAGTTTCATTCAGGAAGTGGTTGGGCCAATTAAAGACCACCAAGATATACAAGGTTCGATGGCAGTGGTTTCCTTTGAATCCATGGCCCTAGTCGAGATAATGGTGGTTGTATTAGTTGAAAGTAGATTTCCATAAGCAGGATTGGCATGGGTGAGAAACAATGCCTGTAGCTATATGACCGAATCGAACGAAATATGATGAATCCCTCAGTTAACCCGACTTAATCCGTCTAACGTCATGGAACCCATCACACCAAGTAGGTTGAAATGTTAACGGGAGGAATTCACGATTGAACACGAGAAACGTGAGATCTTTGGTGCATAAATTAATTATATTACAAAAATAGTACTGCAAATGATTCGGTCCGATCGAGAAAACCATGGCATGGAACCGAAACAGCACATTCTGGATGCCACTGTGGCGCACGTTTATGGTTATAGAAAACCAGTGTGGCGGACGATGGGTCAACATGTGTGAGATGATCCACGTATCGAATACGCACGGATACGGACGGATCGGACACCGTGATCCACTGCCATTCCACGCAGGCATGTTTGGGTAGGTCAGTTACGTGAACCCAGATTACTGATTGGGTACAAATGCATGGCTCTGGTTCGTCAAGGTTCTTTGGACTCGTGGGGGACCACAGAGAGCAAACAGTTCGATGAAATGACCACTGTGCTCGTCTTAAGGCATCGATGGATGTGCCCAAGCAAATGGCTGAGTATAATCCACTCCAGAGTTCCGAGGATTTGGCCTGATTTGAGAGAAAAGACAAGGATGGATTATTATTATTATTAATAATAATAAAACCTTAAGCGTGCTGAGTATACAGGATTTTACAAGTGTCGACGAAAAGAACAAATTAGACGACCACGAGTGGATAACCAAGGCGGGACAGTGGTAAACTTAAAAAATCCCTGACAGCAGGGCCTTCAAATCTTTGATGAAAAAATAAAATATTGGGAGATTTGGTTTCCAGATTGTCAGAAACATCAGCATATGAAACTTTTAAGAGCTTAGAACTACCAAAATAACGGGAAAATATGAATAAGGGTTTGTGAATAAACAACGAATGAGAGATGGGCAAGTGGTATCACTCGCGCACAAAATTCTGGAACCCGTAGCCACATTCCGACTTCGGCAATAGACATCTTAGTAATGCGTTGGTCCCAGTGTGCAGCTGGACGATTATCCTAACCAAACAATGGATCTTCATGCTTATGGAGTTTAACTATTCCATCGAATCAATGAAAATATAATTCAAAAAACCATTACAACTGTTTAAAGACTTCGATTTGTAGTTAAATAATCACTTGAGTCATCACTGGCGAATTTCGGGTTACTCCTCATCCTACATTTTAGTTTCATTCTTGGTATTTCAAATGAATTGAATCCGCTAACAAACAGAGGCTAGTTGGATAGGACGAAAAAGATGCACAAAGATGGAATTCAGCGACAGCGAATCAAATCAAATGAGAGTGCAATTAAAAAAACAGTTCGGAAATGCTGTTTCGATGATTCCATTAATTAAAGTTTAATGCATCATAGAAAAATGGTAATAGCATTAGTAGTGTTATAAATCCACAAAACGGTGCCGGAACGATGACAGTCACCTATTCAAATAACAGCATCGGATAGGGGTAAATAAGGTGACATACAACGAAATATCTAATTTGCGACAATTGGTTAGAATTTCCGTGAACACTATTTCATCGATGATTACCAGGCTGAAAGTCTGTATGTCTCTACTGTATTTTCCATAGCAAATCCTTTAATCCATGCCATGGAAATCCAACAACCACTATTTGGCATGCGCAAACTACTTACAAGTTTGAGTAGTGTCTCACAGCAGCAGTGGTAACAATGGAAAACGGACATGGGTGAGCAGGTGACAGGTTCAGTCCATCAAACCGTGGTTCGTGTTCGAGCCTCGCTTATTTAAGGCCCTCTTTCTTGATGTTGATAGTCCATTTTTATTCATCAAAAACAGAGACAGGGACTATCTACTTACAGACATTTATATACCGATTAGACGAGAACAACTGTGTAGGTCTAACAAATACGGCGTTTCACATATTATATATCTGTACATATATATATTTCATAATAACTAGTATGTGAATGACTGGATAAAATTTCCTCGGAAGCACACGACCGGCTTTGCAGTTCTTGACACCCGTTAGGCAAGCGTATCCGGTAATCTTTTGTAAGTTCAATCATATACTTGTACCCAGGAAGTTTATTTTCCTCACAAAAACGCTAATTTGCAACACCATGTGAATTTAGGATAGACAGCTCTTTCAGAACCAGTCCATTGAAGAATCAATACTATAATTGGATGTTTTGTAGGTGGGTTATATATATATATATATATATATATATATATATATATATAT